ATAGTATATAAAATATTATTATTTATGATTTATGAATATAAATCCTTTGTTTTTTATATAATATATATATATATATATATATTTGTCTTTATTATTCAGTTTCTTTTAGATATATCTTATAAAATTCCTAAAACATCAGTTATATCTTTATTCAAATTATTTCTTTTTTTAAAATTTTTAAATATATTTTTTTAAAAAAGAAAAATACATTTAATTTTAGTTGTCAAAAGGCGCATATTTTTTTTCGCTTGAAATTATAGATGATCTTTTTAATTAAGGTTTAAAAGTACATATATTCATAAGTTATTTTTCTTTGTTTAAAGCAAATTATTATAATTTACTTTATTTTTAATCAAGCCATTTTTTATTTCTTACCGCGAATTCTTCCTGCTTTAATTAGGTTTGAGATTTTATTTTTTTATTTTTATTAGCTTTTTGTTACTTTTAAAAAATAAACTATTCAGCTTTATTATTAGGTGATATTTATTATACTATCGCTAAATTTACAGAAAAATCAGATGATTAAGAACTAAACTATTCATTATTTGCATTTTAAAGAGTACTTGATTTTTTTAATTAATTGTTTGATTATGAATCTTTTTTTATTTGATTAGAGTTTTTTTATTGCTTTTAATATAAAGAACTATAGCTTTAAGTTTATTAAGAAAAATTAGTAATCTTTTAACTACTTTTTTATTAATCTTTATCATTAAATTTTTGTTAACTTTATATTAACCTTTAAGGAGAATATATTAAAGAACTATTTTTATTAGATAACTATTATTAAAGAATTAACGGAGGCATATATGTTTTAAAAGATTAACTATAATCTCTAATATAATTATTATTATTGTAATTTTTATTTTTTTATTCTTATTCCTATTAGGTTGACATTTTTGCTTTTAAAATATTCGGCTTTGTCGTTAAATTTTAGTCTGTTTCTTAATTATATTATTTTAATTCTAAATTTTTATTAATATTTTATTATTTTTATTATTAATCTTTTTATATTTCATTTATTATATTATTATTTAATGGTTGATGCAAATCTAAAAATATTTTTATATATTAATAAATAATAAACATAAAAATGCTTATAAATTAAATATAAAAAAAAAGAATTAATAGTTTATAAATATAAATAACTTTCTTCTCCATTTTAAGTATGCTATTAAATTTTTTATTTATAAAATTAAATTCTCTCTTAACTTATTTGGTTCTAATTAGCCTTTTTTTAAACCATATTATCATACTTTTATATTTTTATTAAATATCTGAATGTAAATCTTTCATTAAATTTACAGTTTCTTTTACTGTCTCTTAATAAGTAATTGTTTTATCGTTTCTTTTTTTACTATCCTTATTTTATTTTTTTATTTCTTCTAAAATTATCTAATTTTACTAAAGTTTAGGTTAATCTTCTTTATCTTATCTTATTAATATTTCAGCTAATATTTTGTTTACTTTATTATCCAATTCAGGATTTGTTTCATGCATTTTATCTTGTTATAAAGAAGCAATTTAATTATAAATATTTTGTGAAATTTAATCTAATTCAGTAAGATTTATTTAAATATCATTTTAATTATACAATAATTAATTTTTTCATATATTGGAATTTCGAAAAAATTCTTAATTAGAAGATAGTTAATTATAATTAATTAATTATTCTTGATAAACATTTGTATTAATTTGGTCACTCATTTAAAGTTATATTATATTGACAAAATCAATATTATTATATCTAAAAAAATAAATTTTAATAAATAAATTAATTTTATTTAATATATAATAAATATCTACTTATATTATAAAATAAATGTATAAAAATAAATATATATATATATATATATATACATATATTTATATATATATATTATATATTTAAATTTATTTTTAATATTCATTATTAATTTATTTATAAATATGTTATAGGATCATCTAATTCTTGAGTATTATCTAATTTTAATATATTTGCATTTATTTTTTATTTTATATATTCTTAATGCTTATCTTCTAAAAATAATTTAGCTTTTTTAAATAAAAATATATAATATATTTAAAAAATATTAATATATATACATCTTGTTGGATTTTATTCAATAACTTAATATGTTTAGTTTTAAAATATATAAGGTTAGAAATTTCTAACATATTAAATATTTTTTTCGTGCAAAGATAGCATACCTAAAAGGCTATACTATGCATTTAATTTTTATAAATCACTTACTTAATTATTTTAAATATGTTCATGATAAATATTTTTATATGGAATTAAATAAGAAGGAATTTATTATTATTTTTTTAAAAACTTTTTTTCTTTTTATAAATTATTCTTTTATTTTTATAATAAACTAGTAATATTACTTGCATTTAAATTATTTGATGCTGAATTTCTTTAAAAGTAATTACTAAAGAATAAATTTTATTTACTTTCTTTTTTTTGGTTAATTGTTATTCTAATTTAAAACAAATTTATGGTAATTATTAAGTTTTGTTTAAAGTATCATTTATATTATCATGTGTATAGAAAATCGGATTTTATTTATTAGTTGAGATTTGAGAATAAGGAATATTTTATAAATCTTATGTCTATTAAGAAATTTTCAAAGAACTAAAATTTATATAAGGCTTTTTAGTTGAAAATTATTAATTTTTTTAATTTAAAAAATCTTTTTAGTTTTTTTAAAATCTTTAATACATTGTTTTAAATCTTATTTTTTTTTTATTTTCTATCTTTAAAAACTTCATTTTTTTTTCTTTTATTTATGGAATTTATTATATTTATTTTATTTCTTCTATCACTTATTTTTTGTTAATTAAAAAATTTCCTTATTTTTTTTCTTCATATTTTCTCCTTTCACTTAGTGCTTATTCATAAAGTGTTTCTAAAGTTGTTAAATTTCGAATATTTTTGTATTTTTCTTGCCTAATTTTATTATATAAAAAATAATATTTGATACACTTTTTATTTGTTTGCTTATAAAAAAAATACTCACATACTATATCATTAAGATTTTAATTAACTTTATATATAGAAGAAGATACTTATTATTAAACAGTCCTTTTAGCTTTCTTTAATGAAAAATTTTTATCAAAATCTTTGATTGTAGGAACTTTTTAACTTTTCTCTTTATTATCTATTTATATAATTGTTTATAAATTATGTTCAGTTATAGCTTTTCTTTGAGAAGCAAATTCTATTTATTAATTTTCTTTAAAATCATTATTTTATTTTAATAAATCAAGCGATTATTTTTTAAATTAATTTTAATTAAAGAAAGCATATTTATTATTTTTAATTTTATCATCTAAATCATTCACAATTCTTTAAGTTTAATTTTTTTCTTCTAGTTTTCTGTTAAAAATTGTCTTTTATTTGTATATATTTATTATATTGTTAAATTTTTTATAAAAATTACTTCAGGTTCTATTGGTTCAAGACATTTAAAAATTTAAGGCATAAAATCTTGCCTTGTTTTAGGTTATTTTTCTTAAATTTAAGTAAGTATTTATTCTATGTGTTTTTTTTTTCTTTATTCTTTTTTTTATTGAACACTAACTAAAAATTTATTATTCATTTTTATAAAATAAAATATTATATTAAAATTAATATTAATATATATATATACATAATTAAAAATACTTTATTAAATAAATATTAATATTAAAAATAAAAATAAAAAAATATATATAATCAATAACGACAAACATAATATATACTTCCCGTTAATCCAATAATCATAAAAATAAAGAATCCGATTCCGTACAATCCTAAAAATTTAATATTTAGCATAAGTCCACTTTTAAATGCTGTTTTAGGCATCCAAATACCAACTTAATCTAAATTTTCCCTTACATTAGGCCAAACCTTTTCCACGTATAAAGAAATTTGCCCCGAGAGTGCCAAATACCCGATACAGCAAATCAAAATTAATAGACTAATAATTGACAAACAAACAAGATATAAAATAAGCACTTTTTTATAATTATAGAGTGATGCGAAATAACCCACTATCCCAATAAGCATTAAGAACCCTCCCAAGCATAAAGCCAAAGTATTCATCCAAAAAGTTAACTTAATAAATTTTAATTATAAAAAATAGAATGTTACACATAATAATCCACTTCCAAAAACAATAAACATTATTGCAAAAGCAGGAATAAATGTTGACAAAAGCCTATATATAAAAAAAAACATATATGAAAATTTAAAATATATATAAATAAAATTATTTAATTTTTTACTTTTTTAAATGAATTCTTTAAATAATGAATGAAATTTAAATAATAAATCCAATAGATATAGTGAATGCAGTTACTCCTAACGAAACAATTTAGTTCTCAATATTTGTCTGAAATTCAGAAGAAGTTAATTTTTATACTTTCAGTTCATTCCAATGTTAATATACCCATTGTTACATATTTGGTTTGAAAGTAATACATCCTAAAGCGTATACAAACAGATAAACAATAATAACTAAATTAACATAAACAATTAGAAGGAGCGTTTTTTTTCTATTTTATATTGTGGATATTATCGTTGATAAATTTGATAAAAAAGCTAAACTACCCAAAAATATTAAAGCTTTATCGGCAAACATTGTATTTTATGTTATTTCGGAAGCACTTATACCTAAATATATTAAAGTTATGGTTAATATCATACTTGCGAATGAAACTAATATTAAAACCCATTTTTGAAAGTTTACCTTTTCTTCTTTTTATCTTTTTTTTATTTTAGTTTTTTTTGTTTTGGTTTAATTAGGAGATGTTTATTAGCATTAAATTTAATTTTTTTATTCTTTAGACATTAAATTTGAGTTTAATATCATTTCCACATCATTTAGATGGTCTATTGATTATTCAGCTGACCTATTTTTAATGTTTATTATTTATCAATCATTATTAATATATTTTTAACTTTAATTACATTACTAACAATTGACTTTTTAATATTTATTAAAATATATTTTTATTTTTTTCTCTATGATTTTAAATTAGTTAATTTAAAATAAAAATTAAAAATGTAATAAAACATAAAATGAATAATAAATTTAATTTTTTGTTAAAAAATTTTTTTATTTATTTCAATTATATCTCATTTTAAATGATTCAATCATTTCTTTATTAACCATAATATTAACAGATGTATGGAAATTTTAGCAAACCAAACAATCATGAATTTCCTCACAATAAAGAATAATCGACCCTTAACCTAAAGAAATAACTTGATTTTTAAACTCTTCATATTAAATTTAATTATAAGTCACATTTTTGTTATTAATAAAATAAATAAATTATTCTAAAGAAATATTAATTTTTCTTTTAGTAATAAAAGGTAATATTAAATTAACAGAATCTTGGCAAAGTCTAAATTTACACAAGCTTCCTTAAAATGTTTCTTTTACTTTTTCAAACACTTTACATCCCATATTAACAATATTTAATTAGCCTATTTTTTTTTGAAATATAATTTATTAATTTTTATTTAATTATAAAAAATTGCCTTTAGTATCGAGTTCATTAAACATTTAACTTTGTTTAGTAATAAATCTAATAGTTTTCTACGTTCCAACTGAACTTGAAACAAATTATCCTTGTTCAAGTCCTTAAATTCCATAATATTATTCAATATTTTACCAATCCTCATCCGAAATTTTTACGAAAGTTTCCTTAACAATTTTTTATATAGGTTTTTTATCATTTTAATTTCCTTCCTGATCAGCATTCATCAACTTTTCGGCTTCTTTTGGAATTTCAGAAGCATCCGGTAATTATTCTTCTTCCTAATTTATATTTTTATTCCAAAAAACCTCTTTAGTTTTCTAAAAAAGCGCTAAATAAAACCCTCCTGAATTTTAATCATGTGGTAAAATACGCATAGTATTTTCAATTTTAATTTCTTCCATCCTCTATAAACTTCCACAGAAATTGGAACTTTTGACATATTAACAATTCTACAGTTTCAAATCAACATCTTCCCATTTTTCAAATTTTTTAAGTTCTTTTCCTTATTAAACATATACTTTCCACTTTTTAAGGCCCTTTCTCCCTTTTAAACTTGGGAATCTTGAATGAATATCAACTAATTAAAAAGACCCATCATTAGCCCTATTGAAAGCTTCCAGAATTACCGCCTCATCTTCAATAGGATTAATGGAGCAAGTAGAATATAAAACCTATCCTCCAACTTTACATACAGTTAATGCTCTCATTAAAATAGCCAATTATAAAGGATGCAATATTTATCCATTTTTTGTACTCCAGTCCTTCCATTGAGTTGGTATTTTTCTAGTCGCACCGTCTCCTGTACATGGTACATCAGCTTATACTTTATCAAATTGGAATCTTCTTTTATCGCTTGTTTATATTTTAGGGAAAAACTATGCTGGATGGTTTATTACTATTAGACCACTAGTGTTTATTCTTGATACTTAATGCATTAATAAATAGGCCCTTTTCTAATCTACATCATTAGCTAATACAACACCCTTAGTTTCGTGTTTTCCTTTATCGAACATTAATTCTAGTAATTGCCCTGTTTTTGAGCCTGAATATATAATATATATTCATTTAATTTTAACTTTTAAATAATTTATTTACCTGGAGCTGCACACATATCGAAAATGATATCGTTTGGGTTTGGATTTAAAAGCAAAGGAGGTAGCATAGAAACTAATTCTTATCTAGAAATAATTCCAGTATCAGTTGCCTATTATAGGTATTTATGAAATTCTTTAAGTATAGCTGATTTTCTTAATTAAACTCGACTGCAGTTTATTTACCAAACAACTTCATCTGGATAAAAATCTACTGTTTTAAGAGTTAGATTTTATAATTATTCTTTGGAAAATTCAAATTTTTCATATTTTATTTATGGTTAATTTTTATCTTACACTTATTATTATTATTATTATTATTATTATTATTATTATTATTATTATTATTATTATTATTATTATTATTCCTGTGTATTTTCTTCTTATTTTTCTTCTTCTGATTTTTTTTCATCTTCTGTAGATTAATTTTTGTTTTATTATTATTTATTGCGCTTTAATTCTATGAATTTATAAATACATTCTTTATCTTTTATTACGTTCTAGAACTTTTAGTAGTTAGGAATTAATTTGTTTATTCTAAAAACTACTGGCAATGTTTCTTTCATTGAACTCCAAAAAACATCAAACTCACTTTTGTTTTCTTTAAAATATTCCTCTTCAAACATAAACTATATTTTTAATAAAAAATAAATATTTATTTTATATTTATATTTATATTTACCCTATAATATTTTTCAAAAACTTCATTTTCATAATTCCATTCTGTATATTAACCTTATCTATAAGATTTAATTTTTTTTTATATTTAATCTCCTTCTTTCAAATTCTATTATTTCCTTTTGTTATTTTTGTATTTCTTGCCCATTTTTAAGTGTTTATATATTTATATTTTTATCTTTATATATATTTATATATTATTTTATAATATTTTTTTATTATATTTGTTTAATTTAATATATAATTATATTTAATATCTTAATTATAAATAAAAGCACTTATAGTAGAAATTTTAATTTTTTTTAATTAATATTTAAACTTTGATTTAATTAAATATCATAAATATTTTATACAAAAGTTAAAAATAAATTTATATTAATTTAATAAATTATAATTATTTTTTATAAATAATATATATTTGATATAATAATAACATTTAGATAATTATTTAATCATATTATTTTTAGCAATTATTATACTTAAAATAGCCTTAAAATTAATAACAAATTATTATAATAAAATTTATTATTTGTTTTTTTGTTTAAAATATTAGTTTAATTTAATTAAATATTATATGAAAATAAAATTTTAAGGTCATTAAATAATAAATAAAATTTTAGTTAATATTCTTATATTTATTTTTCTTATATATTATTAATATTTAAGTTTTTTGAAAATTATTTTATTTTTTTATTAAATTATATTTAATTTATTTATTTATTATTAAATTTAATAAAATATTTATTTATAAAATATGAAATTTTTATAACATATAATACGAAATATATTTATATATATTTATTTTATATTAAACTTTTTTATTTTATTTTTTTAAATTTTAAATATAATTAATAATATAAATTTCTTTTAAGCTTTAATTATAAATAAAATAAATCAAAATTTTTTTTTATACAAAATTATAAAAATAGAAAAATATTTTTTAATTAATAATAATTTTATAAAGAAAAAAAATGAGTGAAACAAAATAAAATGAACACGGTATTGAATTAATAGATTCAAGTGAAAAAATTTCCAAATAAACATATGAGGATTATAAATATAATAAAATGAATTTTTTAGAAAAACTTTAAACATTTAGAATGCAAAAAAAAATTATTATAGGTTTAGTATGGCTAATATTGTTAAAATATATAGAATAAAAATATAAATTTGGCTCCATTTTTGTTATGATTTCAGTTATAGTATTAATATTTGCAAATTTAGATCATAAGGAAAGAAAAAAAGGTGAATTAAGTGCATACAGCATTTTTAATGACGGATGCTAAAGATTGCTAGGTGATGGAGGTCAATAGATGTTAAATTAATTTGGTATAAGGACTAACGATAATAATAATGATTAATATTAGGATCAATAACCCTAAAGAGAAGTAAAAGTACCTAAAAATATAAAAGATTGGATGAAATAAGTATCTAAAATGGGAAATAAACCATGTTATTGTGGTTCTGAAAAAAAATATAAAAAATGCTGTTATTGGAGAGAATTAAGGAAGTAAGATGAAGAAGAAAATATTAGAAAATAAAGGCATTTATAATCTATGTAATAAGAAGTCGAAGATGATGATTATTGATGTTTTTATTTAAAAAAAAATAAACTTAAAAATAAATATATAAATTAATAATTTTTTTTTTAATATATTATATATATTTTTTATAGTTTTCTTTCAATTTGTTATAAGCTATTTTCATTTTTGTTAATCTGAAACATCAATTATATTATTCTATACAAAATTATTTTAAAGTAATTCTTTCATTTTACAAAGGTCATCTTATATTGTTAAAATATCTAAAGACAAACTCATATCTATAAATATAAAAATTATTAATAAAATATATTAAAATGATAGAATAAAATGAAATAATTATTTTTATATATATAAAAATTATTATTTAAAAAATATGAATATGCATATAAATATAAATATAATAAAATATATTTACTGAAATTATTAATCAAAAAATTTTCAAATTGAGTTGTTATAGTAGAAAATTAAGGCAAATTATAAAATTCTTCTTAGTTATTATTATTAATATTATTATTTTAAATTATTCTTTTTTTAAATACATTTTTATAACTATAAATTGTACTATCATCCTACACACTACCATTATTTCCATTACTTTTTTATTTACTACTTTCTTTCTTAATAGAAACTTTCTTTTTTTATTATTTTTCTTTTTTCTTTTTCTATTTACCACCATCTCCTAAAACCTATAGCTATTCTTAATTCCTACACCAAGCACAATAATATTTCTATTATTTATTAATCACCTCATTCACATTTTTCATTCCGAAAAGTTCTTCGCATTAAGTATGTGACCAATAATCACAAAGGTCGCACTAAACCCACTCTTAGCCGTCCCCTTGCCAATTATTTCCATTATCTTCAGAAGTATTTACATATATTTAATGGCAAAAATAACAATATTATTTATTGTCGAATCTTTACTAACAATGATCACATAAATATATTTTTTCTTAGATTTATGATTATTACTTGGTTTACTTTTCTATATTTATATTAGATTTTTATTTCTTATTGTTCTATTAGTGTTAGTTTTCTTAGTTATCAAAACAAAATTAATTTTCACATTTTCTCTTGTGGTTTGCTTTTAGACTTTTTTTATTATCATAAGATTTGCAAGTCTTTTCTTTTTTTTTGCATTTATTTATTTTATGATTTTTTTTTTTACTTAAAGAATCGACGTGTGAATTTTGTAAAGAATTAGAAGAAAGGCTCATTTTTTTTTATATTATTATTATTATTTTTATTTTTATATTTTCTAATTAAAAAATTCTTTTTAGTAATTAATTAATTACTAAAAATTATTATTAATTGTTTGTTGTTTTTTTTGTTATTTTTTGTTTTTTTTGTTATTTCAAAAAAAATAATATATATACATATATTCATAAGAAAAATTTACAATATTCTTATAAATTATAAAAAGTGTAAATATTGATTATATAAATTAATTAGTTTGTGTGTGAGTGATAAAAAGTAAATTAAATATATTAATTTTGTAAATTTTAAATTTATTATCATATATTTTAAATAATATTAATTAATATTAAATTATATTACTTTATCAATTATAAAGCATATAATAATTTTATAATTTTCATAAAAATAAATATAAGGCTATTAAAAAAGTGTTTAAAATTAAATTATAGTATAAAATAATTTTTTTTAAAAAAATAAGATTAAATAAAATTCATTAAATTAATTTTAACTGAAATTTTATATATTAAATTAAAAATATAATTTTTGATTATCTTAAAAAATATTTAATCTTTTTATTAAATTATTAAAAGATTTCTATTTATCTTTATTTTGTTAATTTTTTATTATTGTTATTTCGCATACTATAACTTTTTTAGAATATAAATGATTAAACTTTAATGTAAAATTGAGTATAAAAACTTTGAAAATTAATGAGTTTGTATATTTATTATGGTAAATAATTTTTAGTTTATAAATATATAACTTTTAATATTATTATAATTCAATTTTTTATTAATAAAAGAAATATATTTTAAGTAGAACAACACGTTATGATAATATTATATTCTAAATTTCATATATTTTATTACTTAATTATTTAAGAAAATAATTATATTTATTAAAATTATGGATTTTAACAAATAATAATATATAGGTTTTTTTACAAAAATAAAAATAGACATCATTTTTACTATGTATTTAAATTAGTAAGTATTAAATATATATATATGTATATATATATAAAAAAAAAATGCATATATAAATTTTTTTTTATTTTATAATAAATAAATTTATTATAGAAATAATAATAAATTATATATATTATAATATTATTAATTTAAACATTTTATATATATAACATTAAATTTTAAATATTTATTATATTTATAATAATTTAAAATATTTATTAATTAATTAATATAATTGTTTATATTATAAACAATTTTATTTTTTATAGTCTATAAAAGAATTATTTATTATATATTATTAATAAAAAACACAAATATATTTTTAATAATTAATATATTTATATATACTTATTAATAATCTTATTCATTAGTTTATTTTAAATTATTCATTTATTTATTTGTCTATTAATATTTTTCCTTAAATTTTTTATTATAATTTACTTATTTAATTATTTTAAAAATTCCATTTTTTCTTTTACTATCATTTTATTATTATTTTTAAAATAATTAATATTATTAATCATAATCTTATATATTTTGTTCTTATAAAATTTATATATTATTTAAATTATTTTCTTTTTCATTATCACTATCAACAAAAATTTATTCTTAATTTTCAATTTGATATTCTTCATCAAATTCCTATTTAACTTTCTATATTTATTATTAAGCATGCTTATATATATTAACTTATTTTTTATTTGCCATTTTTTTATTTTTTCTTAACAATTTTTTTAACATTAGCTTACTCTTATATAAATTTTATTGATATTGGTTTTTAATTAATATAATTTAATTCATTTTATCTATTATTTTATCTTAAATATTTTTCATATATCTCATTTTTTTCTTATTTTATTTTTAATAATTGCTCTTTAAACTATTGATCTTTTTATATTTCATAAGTTTTTTATTTTACTAAATTATTTCTTTTAAATATTTCAAGATAAATAAATAATAAAATTTATAACTTACTTGATTATTTTTAAATTCTAAATAGAATAATTTTTGTGCTTTTTCATTTCATTCACTTACCATATATCTTATTTATTCACTTTTCCTTATTTTTTTAGTTTAATTATTTGTTTGGAATCATAATAAATAATTATTTTCTATTTTTTTAAATATATCTGAAAATAGTTTTAAATTAATAAAAAAAATTATTAAAAAAAAATTAAAAAAATATTAATAAAATATAAATTTATATTTACAATTGAAATCACTTTATAGAAAAAAATATATATTTTGAGTTAAATTACTTTAATTCTGTAATTTTTTAGCAAAAATATTTTTAAATTAAAAATTTAAATAAGAAAGTGAAATTCGAATACTCAAAAACTAACAAAATTCTTATTAATATTAATAAAATGAGTATATTTATATAAAATAAATATACTAAAAAATTATTTTTAATTTATATCCAAAAAAAATTAACATAATTAAACATTTAAAAAACAAAAAAATTAAATTATTTAAATAAAATATTTTATTGAAATATCTTTTCCGTGTATTAAATAAATACACCTAAGAAATAAGAAATAGAAGAAAAAAAAAAAAAATAGCTTTATTATATATTTAATATATAATTATTTTCAGTTTTCTTTGTGTTATTAGATAGTTAAAGACTTGATGCCCAAAAATATTGCCCCAAACATAATAGCATTTTCACAAATACTATTTTCATATTTAATTATAATGTCTAATTACTTAGATTCTTAATCTTATATTTCTCACAATATTTTTATTTAAATGGTAATATCAAATATTAGATAATTTTAAAGGAAAAAACGGAAACTCGACTATCCTTTCTACATTACCTAATGGCTTAAATATGTAGTAAATATTATTTAAAAATGTTAATATTATAAATATTGTATGTTTAATAAAGGGGCATATTAATAGTATAAATGAGGCTTTACTATTTGCTAAATTTTTAAGTTCTGCTTTACTTGGAAATATGAAAAATTTCAATTTTTTAAAATTAAGATTTGGCTAATTATTAATTACTTTTTTTGTATTTAGTTATTATTTAATTTTTTTGTTTATGATACATATGTTTAATGCGAATAATAAAAGATTAAATATCTTTTCTTTTTTTATTTTTACATTCTTTATGATCTATTTTGAGACATTGTATTCAATATAATTAATAGTTAGTACGATTATTTTTTATGGAATAACTTTTTGAATGGATTAAAGCTGTGTTGAAATATATATTACGCCAGCAATTTAAGAAAAAAAATAGATATGGGATATATATTTTTTAGTAATTTTTATTTATTATATTATATAATTTTGCTTTTATTTTAATCTATGTTATCATATTAATTATATAATTTATTTTTCCTTTATAATAATTAAGTAAAGAATATGTATTTATTTTTGATAATTTTTAATAAAATATTTAAATTTATAAATAAAATTAATTTCATTCTTATAAAAATGTATTTATAATAAATTTATATCAATATATTTTAGTTTATATAAAATTTATAGCTTTTATTATAAAAAAAATAGTAATAATTATGCTAAATTTACATAAAAATATAATGTGTATATAAATAAGTATCTTAATAAAAATAAAGTTTATTTTTAAAATATTAATATTACTTATTAAATCTGAAAAAAATAGTAAAATAAAGAAAAATATAAAATTGAAATGTAAAATGTATATAAATATAGTTTTAACAATTATATATTTTTAATTTATAAATTTTAATTCAATTGCATTTTCATTTTTTAATTTTCTTAATACAATCTCTACAATACCAACTACCTTCTGGTGCTTCTGTAATTCCTATACATTCGTAATGAAACCATTCTTTTTAACAACTTTCATTTTCGCACCCAATCCTTTAATTAATATATTAAAAAAAAATT